GCAAAAGGCAATAAAAAATTGCAGAAGTCAATACAAAAGTGCAAAAGGCAATAAAAAATTGCAGAAGTCAATACAAAAGTGCAAAAGGCAATAAAAAATTGCAGAAGTCAATACAAAAGTGCAAAAGGCAATAAAAAATTGCAGAAGTCAGTACAAAAGTGCAAAAGGCAATACAAGAGTGCAAAAGGCAATACAAAAGTGCAGAAGTCAGTACAAAAGTGCAAAAGGCAATACAAAACTGCAGAAGTCAATACAAAAGTGCAAAAGGCAATAAAAAATTGCAGAAGTCAATACAAAAGTGCAAAAGGCAATAAAAAATTGCAGAAGTCAATACAAAAGTGCAAAAGGCAATAAAAAATTGCAGAAGTCAATACAAAAGTGCAAAAGGCAATAAAAAATTGCAGAAGTCAATACAAAAGTGCAAAAGGCAATAAAAAAGTTCAAAAGGCAATAAAAAATTGCAGAAGTCAGTACAAAAATGCAAAAGGCAATAAAAAATTGCAGAAGTCAATACAAAAGTGCAAAAGGCAATACAAAAGTGCAAAAGGCAATACAAAAGTGCAGAAGGCACTGCAGAACTGCAGAAGCCAATTATTAAATTGTCATTTATGACCCAGTGTTGGCAGTGTTTGCGAGGGTCCCAGCATAAGGGAAGAGATTAATCCAACTCCATATTTCTTAGAAGGCTGATATATTATGATATTACATTATATTATAGAAATTACATACTAAAACTATACTAAAATATAGAGAGAAAGGATACATCACAAACCTAGAAAAGGATGAATAATAAAAAACTGACCAGAGACTACGACACAGCTGGACTGGGATTGGTCATTCAGTAAAAAACAATTCAAATGGACCCAATCAAAGGTGACCCTGCCACATTCCAAAGCAGCAAAACTCAGGGAGAAGCGATCACAGTATTGTTTTTCTTTTCCCCTGAGGCTTCTCATCTTCCCAGGAGGAGAAATCCTGGCAAAGGGATTTTACATGAAGTATCATGGTGACAGCCTGGCCATGCTGCAGGCACAGTGGAAAGCTGGAAGCTGCTGAGGCGACTCAGTCACCCTTGTCCCCTGTCCCTGAGTGTCCCCAGTGACATCACCACAGGAATTCCCATCAGGATTTGGGACAGTATCAATGAAAATTCCCAGAAAATTCCCCAAATTTGTCTCAAAAACTGCACGGGGAGGGGACAGGTGACAGCAGCTCTGTCGCTGATGATGTCACTGCTATTATGATTTCACGGCAGTGATATCATCATCCCTGCAGCAGATTTGGGATGTCCTGGATGGCTCTTTGGCACCTCTCGGCCACCCCACAGGCACTGGGTCTGTCAGGACCACCACTGAAATAGAACTCGATGATGCTGTCAACTGCTCCCACCAGGTGATCCTTGGCCAGGCGGACGTTGGCCTCCCACAGCCGCTCGGCCTCGGCCACCTTGTCCTTGGGGACATCGGGATACGCCACATTTGTCCCCTTCAGGGCGGCCTGGATGTCCCCAACCCTGCGCTGCAGCTCCCGGGGGAGCGCAGTGGCTTCGTCACACGCGGCCACCAAGCGCTCCAGCAGCCCCAGGGCCGCCTCCACCCGCTGTCTCTCCATGATGGCCATTGTTGCCTCGCTGGCAGCCACCCTGGCCTCCCTCTTCACCCGGGCTTCATGCCTGCCCACCACCTCAGCCCCCTCCTCCCCACCCAGGGCCTGACCCAGCTCCAACATCTTTTCCCGAAGTGTCCCATAACGGGCAGCCTTGTCCTGCAGCTCCCTGGCCCGGGCGGTGGCAGTGGCCACCCTGTCGGCCACCTTGGTGGCCACCTCCCTCCAGGTCTTACGGAGCTGGGTGGCCACCCTGGCCAGCCGGGCCCAGCTGTCCACAAGCTCAGACACCGAGCCCTGCCACTTGCTGGCCGCCATTGTCACATGGTCCCAGGTGGTGCACGTGGTGCTGTCACAGGCGGCCAGGACCCGGCTCAGGGAGGTGACATCCTGGCGCCACCAGGTGCCATCAAGGCGGTAAAGGGTGGCCCGGAGCTCCTTGGTGAAGTCCTCCAGGTTCCAGTACAGGCACCTTGGGGACATGAGCAGCAGCATCTCCTCCTCCCGCGTGGGCACGGTGGCCAGCAGCGCCCCCAGGAGGGCCACCACAGTGCCCGGCGGGTGCAGCACGGCTGGGGACAGCTGGGGAGGGGACAGGGGAGGTGTCAGGGACCTGGTGGCACTTGTGATCTCCTGGGGTGGCCCCCTGCCCCCAAGGAGTCCCCTTTGTCCCGTCCATCCCTTTGTCAGCCTCTTGTCCCCGCTGCCACCCGCGACCAGCCCCTGTGTCCCCTCTGCCACCCATGCCCCCTTCTCCCCCAGCGTCCCCGCTTGTGCCCGCCCCCGCCCATCACACCTCTTGGAGCTCCGTGTTCACTGGGGACACCTTGGGGACAACGTGGGAACACTCCATGGGTTGAAGGAGCCTTGGGATGTAGTCGATGGCACTTCGGCACCGCTCGGCCACCTCAAAGGCAGGGGGGCTGGCAGGATCACCATCGATATAGAAATCAATGATGTCTTGAAGTGTCCCCAGCAGGTGATCCTTGACCAGCCGGGTGTTGGCCTCCCACAGCCGCTCGGCCACGGCCACCTTGTCCACCAAGTCCTTGGGGATGTCGGGGGATGCCTCATTTGTCCCCTCCAGGGCAGCTTCGGTGTCCCCCAGCAGGCGCTGCAGCTCCCGGGGGAACGCGGCTGCTTCGTCACACGCGGCCACCAAGCGCTGCAGCAGCCCCAGGGCCTCCTCAACCCACTGTCTCTCCATGGTGGCCATTGTTGCCTGCCTGGCGCCCACCCTGGCATTTCTCCTCACCCAGCCTTCATACCCGACGTTGTCCCTCACCCGCCTGCGCAGGGCTGGACCCAGTGGCGCCCTGTTTTCCTGAGCTATCCCATAATGGGCAACCAGGCCTCGCAGCTTCCTTGCCCAGGCGTTGGTGGTGGCCGCCGCGTTGGCCGCCTGTGTGACCACCTCTCTGCAGGCATTGTGGAGTTTGGTGGCTGCCCTGGCCAGCCGGGCCCACCTGTCCACAAGCACAGACACCAACCCCTGCCACTCGCTGGCCGCCATTGTCACACGGTGCCAGGTGGCCGGTGGGGTGCTCCTGTAGGCGGCCAGGGCCCGGCTCAGGGAGGTGACAGGGTCATCATCATCGGAGGTGACATTGCGGCGCCACCAGGTGTCATCAATGCAGTACACGGTGACCCGGAGCTCCTTGCAGAAATCCTCCAGGTCCCAGTACAGGCACCTTGGGGACTCCAGCAGCCTCATCTCCTCCTCCCGTGTGGGCACGGTGGCCAGCAGCTCGCCCAGGGTGGCCACCACAGTGACCGGCGGGTGAAGCAGGGCTGGGGACAGCTGGGGAGGGGACAGGGGAAGTGTCATCCCACTTGTGGCCTCCTGAGGTGGCCCCCTGCCCTCGAGAGGTCCCCTTTGTCCCCTCTGTCCCTGTGTCAGCCTCTCATCCCCGCTGCCACCCCCTGCCAGCCCCCATGTTCCCTCCCCCATGTGTCCCCTGCGTGCCCCCTCCCCACCCAGCGTTCTCTGTCCCCCTCTCTCTCCCCCACCCGTCGCACCGTTTGTAGCTCCACGCTCACTGGGGACACCTTGGGGACGCTCTGGAGATGCTCTGGGGATTGAACCAGCCTTGGGATGTCGTCAGTGGCTCTTTGGCACCGCTCGGACACCTCACGGGCACTGGGTCTGTCGGAACCACCATTGAACAAGAAGTCGATGGTGTCTGGAATTGTCCCCACCAGGTGATCCTTGGCCAGCCGGGCGTTGGCCACCCACAGCCGCTCGGCCACAGCCATCTTGTCCACCCAGTCCTTGGGGACACTGGGGGATGCCTCATTTGTCCCCTCCATGGTGTCTACGATGTCCCTGAGCAGGCGCTGCAGCTCCCGGGGGAAGGCGGCAGCTCCGTCACACGCGGCCACCAAGCGCTCCAGCAGCCCCAGGGCCTCCTCCACCCTCTGTCTCAACATGGGGACTGTTGGTGTCTCGCTGGCAGCCGCCCTGGCATTTCTCCTCACCCGGGCTTCACGCCTGCCCACCACTTCAGCCCCCGCCTGCCTGCCCAGGGCTGGACCCAGCTGCTCCCGGTGTTCCTGACCTATCCTAAAAGAGGCAGCCATTTTCTGCAGGATGTCAGCCCAGTCGGTGGCGATGGCCGCCTTGTTGGCCGCCTCAGCGACAACCTTCCTGCAGATGTCGAGGAGGTGGGTGGCCACCTTGGCCAGCTCAGCCCAGCTGTCCAGAAGCACAGACACCGAGCCCTGCCACATGACGGCCGCCATTGCCTCATGGTCCCCAGCAGCCCGTGGGGTGCTCTTGCAGGCGGCCAGGGCCTTGCTCAGGGAGATGAGAAGGTCACGATCATCGGAGGTGACAATGCGGCGCCACACGGTGTCATCAGTGCGGTACAGGCTGGTCTGGAGATCCTTGGTGAATTTCTCCAGGACCCAGTACAGGTCCAATGGGAACTGGAACAGCAGCATCATCTCGTCCGGCCTGGGCAGGGTGGCCAGCAGCTCGCCCAGGGTGGCCACCACAGTGACCGGCGGGTGCAGCAGGGCCGGGGACAGCTGGGGAGGGGACAGGGGAGGTGTCAGGGACCTGGTGGCACTTAAAGCCTCCTGACCCGCTGCCCTCGAGGGGTCCTTGGTCCCCTCCCTGGAGGGCTCCGCTGCCCATCTGTCCCTCCCTTATTCCCTCTGCCACCCCCGTTCCTCCCTCGTATCCTCTGCCGTCCCCCTGCCCCCACTGCTGTCCCCTCTGCCACCCTTTCACCACCCCACACTTCCCCTCCTCTCCCCCTCCCATCGCACCTCTTGGGGCTCCATGCTCCCTGGGGACACCTTGGGGACACATTGAGGGCGCTCCGGTGGCGAAGGAGCCCCGGGACCAGCGCCGGTCCCGGCCCAGAACCGGCCCCGTGGGCGGCGCCGAGAAAATGGCGGCACCGCCTCTGGAGGGGCCGGAAAGGGGCGGGGCGATGTGGAGTCACCGCCCCTCACACCAGGTACCGCCCCTATCCCTGGAAAGCGCCAGGATTTGGGCGCTTTGGTTGGATCCTAGGGGATTTAGGCTCAGCCCCAGGGGATTTAGGCTCAGCCCCAGGAGGTTTAGGCTCCACCTCGCCATTTCCAGCCGGATTAATTCCGCCGTTCCCGGCTGGATTTAGGAGGGAACGCGGAGCGCTCTGAGGAGCGGGCGGAACTGCCCTCAATAAAGATGGCGGCACAGCTGCCCTGCCTTGAGGCGCGGACCAATCAGAAGCCGCGCCTGGCAGAAGTACTGGCGGAAGTTTCCTTTGCGGCGGCGTCAGCGGCCTCTTGCGGCAGAAACGCGGTGCATTTTGGGCATTGTGGTCCCGGTGGGCCTCGGCTGCGGCGGAGCGGGGCCGAGGGGATGTGAGGGGATTTGGGGCGTCCTGAGGTGGTTTTGGGGCATTATGATGGAGAATTGCAGGGGGTTGTGAGGGGGCTGAGGGGATGTGAGGGGATTTGGGGGGTCCTGAGGAGGTTTGTCACCCAAGATGGTGGCACAGCTGCCCTATCGTGAAACACGGACCAATCAGAAGCACCGGCTGGCAGACGTACTGGCGGAAGTTTCCTTTGCGGCGGCGTCAGCGGCCGCTTCCGGCAGAAATGCGGTGCATTGTGGGCATTGTGGTCCCGATGGGCCTCTGCGACAGCGGAGCGGGGCCGATGGGATGTGAGGGGATTTGGGGTGTCCTGAGGTGGTTTTGGGGCATTGTGAGGAGTTCTGAGTGAGTCTGGGAATTCCTGAGGGGATTGGAGGGGTTGTGAGGGGATTTTGGGGAGTTCTGAGGGAGAATTTGGGATCCTGAGGGGATTTTGGGTGTCCTGGGGGAGAACTGGGGGTCCCGAGGGCGTTTGAAGGGATGTGAAGGGGTTTGGGGGAGTCCTGAGGGGATGTGGAAGGTCCTGAGGGGGTCTGGGGGGTCCTGAGGGAGAACTGGGGGGTCGTGAAGGGGTTTAGGGTGGATTTTGGGGAGTTCTGAGGGAGAATTGAGGGTCCTGAGGGGTTTTGGGGGGTCCCGAGGGGATCTGGGGGCGGTATTGAGTGGTTTAGGGGAGGATTTGGGGGGGCCTGAGGGGATTTGGGGCGGTCACAAGGGGATCTGGGGGGATTCTGAGGAGATTTTCGGAGGCCCTGAGGGAGACCTGGGGGTCCTGAGGGGGTCTGGGGGGTCGTGAGGGGATTTGGGGACGTTCTGAGGGGATTTTGGGGGTTCCCGACTGGGTTATGGGCGTCACAAGAGAATTTTGGGAGTCCTTGTGTGGATTTTGTGCCTCCCTGACTGGATTTGGGGCAATTTTAGGGAGAATTTGGGGTCATTTCGGGGTCCTTGAATGTATTTTGGGGAATTTGGGGGATTTTTGGGATCCCTGATGGGATTTTGGGGTATTTTGGTGCAATTTCAGGATCCCTGTAGGTATTTTAGGATATTTTGGTGCAATTTTTGGGGTGATTTGTGGTAATTTCAGGGTCTGTTCTGGTATTTGGATGTAATTTTGGGGTATTTTGGTGTATCTTGGTTTGAACAGACAGGTGTGTGCTGAGGAAGGCAGGAGACCCCTGAAGTGGAAAATGTGAACCCTCTCCGTCTGAATTGTAATAAATTTGAAAATAAAAGGCTCTCGGGAAAAGATATGGGAGCAGAAATACTGGTATTTGGATGTAATTTTGGGGTATTTTGGTGTATCTTGGTTTGAACAGACAGGTGTGTGCTGAGGAAGGCAGGAGACCCCTGAAGTGGAAAATGTGAACCCTCTCCGTCTGAATTGTAATAAATTTGAAAATAAAAGGCTCTCGGGAAAAGATATGGGAGCAGAAATAACAGATCTTTATTTGGGTACGAAAATAAAAGTGAAATAAAATAAAATAATTAAAATTAAAAGAAATATAGAAATCAAAATAAGAATAAAAATACTAATGAAAATAAAAATAAAGTCAGAAATAAAAACAAGATAAAAATAAAATTAATAAAAATAAAATACAATATAAAATAAAAAATTTAAAATATAGAAATAAAAACAAGATAAAAAAGTAAAACAAATTAATAAACAATAAAAATAAAAATTACATACAAATAAAATTAAACATTAAAAAATTAAAATAATAAATAAAGATAGAAATAAAAATATAAATAAGATAAAAAATAAAAATAAAATAAAAATAATAAAAAATAAAAAGAAATAAAATCAATATAAAAACAAAAATAACATAAAGATAAGAATACAAATAATAAAAATAAACTCAAAAATAAAAATAAAATAACATAAAAAACCAGAATAAGAAGAAAGCTGCTCCTCTGGGAATGCAGTGGGCAAAGGCTGCTGTGCTGTTCCAAACCTCAGATTCCATCCAGGTAGGAATGCTTGGCTCCTCCCCCATGCAGTGATGCTTAGTGGCCGATTAACAGCAAATAATTAATAATAATGCCCCATGAACAGCAGATTAATATATAATGGCCCATGAACAGCAGATAATTAATACAGCCCATGAACAGCAGATAATTAATAATTAACGGCCCTGTCTAGGTTCCAATATAAAATGTATTCTCTCCCCATCCCCAAGAGCTGTTCACACCAGGAGGGCCATTGTTTTATTGTTTTTCCTGATCTCCTGTTCCTGAACCCATCAATTCCATGCACTGAGCAGCAGCTCCCGTTTAAAATCTCACCAATCGCTCCCAGCTTCCCCAAACTTCCAATCCAACACCGAAAAAGACGTCACTGTTAAATCTTTCTGGGTCACACACAGATTGTAGTTTCCTCTTTGGCAGCTGAGAACAACTCATCCTCCACTGTTAGCAGGTAAACACAATATTGCTTTTCACAGAAAATCAGAGCAGGGGAGCAGGTGAAGCAGGGAGGAAAAGAAAAAAATAATTACCAAACCAGTGGTGATGTTTTCTAAAACAAAACTAAAATCATCCAGCTCCTCTACTCACTAATTTTTCAGAGACAGTTGCAAAGGAAGCTCGCTATCTTCGTGAGGCTTAATTAATTGAAATCTGACTCAGAGATAACTCCCTCCAGGAGCCATTTCTGTCTGATGGGCAATCAAGGACCAATCATGACTCAGAATGACATCAGCCCATTGTGAGATGCTCCGCCCAGGGGGAGGAGCTCAGCATCCCCACCTGGATATAATCTGGGCTTTGGGACAG